CAGGACACTGGACACTGGTATGGAGCACTGGACTCTGGCCAGGACACTGGACACTGGTATGGAGCACTGGACACTGGGCAGGACACTGGACACTGCTATGGGGCACTGGACATTGGGTGGGACACTGGACATGGAGCACAGGACACCAGGAATTGGGAACGGCACTGCGAATTGGGCAGGACATTGGGGCACAGGACACTGGGCACTGGACACTGGGCACTGGACACTGGGCAGGACACTGGGCACTGGACACCAGGAATTGGGAACGGCACTGCGAATTGGGCAGGACATTGGGGCAGGACACTGGGCACTGGACACTGGACACTGGCACTTGGTGGGCACTGGGTGAGAAACTGGACACTGGGCACTGGACACTGGGCACAGGTGGGGGACTCTGGGCACTGGACACTGGTATGGAGCACTGGACACTGGGCACTGGACATTGGGCACAGGTGGGGGACTCTGGGCAGTGGTGGAGGACTCTGGCCAGGACACTGGACACTGGTATGGAGCACTGGACACTGGGCAGGACACTGGACACTGGACACCAGGAATTGGGAACGGCACTGCGAATTGGGCAGGACATTGGAGCACTGGACACTGGACACTGGCACTTGGTGGGCACTGGGTGAGAAACTGGACACTGGGCACTGGACACAGGTGGGGGACTCTGGGCAGGACACCGGGCACTGGACATTGGTATGGGGCACTGGGCACTGGACACCAGGAACTGGGCAGGGCACTGAGAATTGGGCAGGACATTGGGGCAGGATACTGGACACTGGGCACTGGACACTGGGCACTGGTATGGGGCACAGGACACTGGGCACAGGACACTGGGCAGGGATGGAGGATTCTGGGCAGGACACTGGGCACTGGGTGGCCACTGGGCACTGAGCAGGACACTGGGCACTCAGTGGGACACTGGACACTGGGTGGAACACTGGGCACTGCTATGGGGCACTGGACATTGGGTGGGACACTGGACATGGAGCACAGGACACCAGGAATTGGGAACGGCACTGGGAATTGGGCAGGACATTGGAGCACAGGACACTGGGCACTGAGTGGTACACTGGACACCGGACACTGGGCACTGAGCAGGATACTGGGCACTAGGCACTGGGCACTGGACACTGGGCACAGGACACTGGGCACAGGACACCAGGAATGGGGCCGGGCACTGAGAATCGGACAGGACATTGGGGCAGGACACTGGCCACTGGGTGGCCACTGGACACCGGGCACTGGACACCGGGCACTGGACACGGGACACCGGACTCTGGTCACTGGGTGAAACACTGGGCACTGAGCAGGACACCGGGCACTGGACACCGGGCACTGGTCAGCCCCGCCATGGCCCTGCCCGGTTTTTCTCACCTGGGCAATGGGTCCAGAGGCAGTGCGGGGGTGCCCATGGGGTCACAACCCCCCAGCTGTGCCCGTGCCCGGAATCCCAGTCCAAACCAGTGCTCCCAGTGCGGGCAGGGGAGCCGTGGGGGTGGTGGGAATTGGGGAAGGTGAGGGCGAGGAGGGGGAGGGGAGAGGAGGAGGAAGAG